CTACTGTCCTGTAAATTACCTCACTTTAGAATTTGAAAAATGTATCTTTAATCCTAACCATGTCTTTCTAAGCATTTAGCAAATACAATAAATTACATAATATGTGATATAATTATCCAATAAATGTATACCAGGAATATATAACATAACAGCATATGCTAGAGACTTTTAATAATTAAAATTTATGTTATGTTTATCTATAAGATATAGGATAATACAAATAACATTAATTTCCCATTATCTTTTAAAATATTTTAAATATCAATTTTCATTTTTCATATATATGAATATATTCAAAATGGTACATTAAGTAGAGTAAAAGGTTTTTAACAGCACCATGAGATATTTCACATCACATGTCTGATGAGTTTCACAATCTAGAGATCATTTATCACTTAATTGCTATTTGCTCTTGGTACACTCTGAGTAACGTGTGGGTAAACAGGTGTTCACTTTATGTTAAACTGCAATACTGATTGATTTGCTTTGTTGTATATAGTACTAAAGAAATTTATTCAAATGCTTGTTCACATAATTTGGACAAATTCACAAATTAAATTGAGGAAGACTTGTTTTCCCTCAGTTCTGGTTAATCATTGTTATTTTACCCATCAAGAAGAAGACTGGTAAGTTGTTTGCCTTCTCTAAGCAAGCAGGGGCTATAGGCATAAAGGCGCCATAACAAAAACTGAGTTATTGTAGGTTTCTTTATGTTTTTCACACCAAAGGAGAATAACACAGGAAGCAAGTATGCTAAAAGGATTTGTAAAATGTTTTTGACTTCTTTTAAATCCAGGTTTCTTATCATTTACTTCAATTATTTTATCTCCCCATTTGCTATTTGATTCTATTATTATTTCCACTGTGTATGTGTGTGTGTGTGTGTACACACTATACACACACATACATATACATATATATGTATATATATGTGCATATATATATATATATATATATATATATATATATATATATATATATATATATATATTATTGCTGAGGGCATGTAAAGAGGGAGATCTAGTAAATTACTTTATGGAAGATAACAGAAACATATTCCTTAAGAGAGTATACAGAGCATGCTTGAGAGTTAAACTCAGCCATTGCAAAGTGGGGTGGGGAACTGGGAGGAGGTTCCCTAAATATCTAAGGACAGAGGAGAAATTTACCAGCACTATAACAGAAGTGCTAAAGTAATACATCAAACTTCTAAGACTGCATATCTGTAAATTCCTGGTGCTATTATAATGTGTGTTTTCCTGCAACTATGTCTTCTCTTTTTGGAGTGGCACTGTAAGCCCCATACTATATCTCTAGCTTTTAGACGTTAATAAGCTCTGTAACCACTGCCTTTTCTCTAACTGTTGTTCTGGGGTCCATTATTGAATTCCAGTAACATAGCAAGAGGTTCTGGGAATGAAATCTCAGTCAATGTCCTCATTATCAAATCCTCCAATGCAATACTCCAGCTGGTCCTATATATAAGAAGGGTCAAAGGAGGAAATATTTTCTAGTAATTAATCCAAAAATTATATTTGTCATTTAAAAAACATGACATAAACTTTAAAAAAAGAAAGAATAGAGCAGACCTTGAGGTGCTAACAACCTAGACGTAACTCACCTAAACTGAGTCAGTGGGACATTTATACTTGATTTTGTAGACAATATTTACCTCAGCTAACCTACTGAAAAGTCTAAAGAATCTTTGAAAATATTCAAATAGTTGGGCTAACAATATAGAATTGGAAATATTTGTAGGAGAATTTGAAATTTGCCAGTTAGCAGTTATTGTTAGTGATAAGGAATTATAGCTGATTGGCATATTCTTTTACAATTGTGAAAATTTGTGTTCTCAATTCTAATTCATTTGTTAGATTTTCCTATAGGAAGATTTTCTATCAAGAATAATATGTCTTTCAACATGTAGTTTTCTTAGCAAAAGACATTGCTATTAGGAGAGCTGTGTAAAAAAACCAAGAGGTTTTGCTTCATGGGAGTTTAAGGAAAAGTTATTTCTCATCCAGAAATAAATAAATAAGTAATGTCCTCTCAACTGCAAAATGAACTAGTCACTTATCATGTGATGGATTTGAAAATTTGTGATATCCTATAAACATTTGAATTTTGTAGGGCAGTGAGAATTTAGGCTTATTATGTTCTAGACCTGTGAGTTCGCAGCATAAGAATTTCACCTGCTGAAGTAGATTGGCAAATCATTATTAGGGTCCAGAGAAGAGCCTAGGGCACTAGAAGTGACTTGCCCAAGAACACAAAGCCAGTATTTGTGAGAAGTAGCACTTGAACCCAAGCCTTTCAGACTTCCAGGCCAGCACTAAACACTGGAATTCTTCCACTTGACTCATTATGATTTTTTAAATAGTTAATTAAAAACGATCAAATGCTTACTGTGTGCCAGAGGATATAAATAGAAGAAAACAAAATTATCCCTCTCTTCAAGGAGCTTGTATTCTACTGGGGGGTGGGGGTGGATACATAAAGAGAAGCTGGAAAACAAGGAGCTCAAAGGCAAATCTCCAGATCCAGTGGGGGAAGGGAGAAAAGGAGGATTGGCCCCAGTTCAGGCAGTATGGTTTTGGAATAGTAAGGAAGAAATATAGAGACCTAGTTCCAGGCAAGTTAAGGCAAAAACTGTTTCTATTTCCTCTCCTTTTTATGTTCCAAATAGAGTGATACCTGGCTTCCAGCCACATCAATCAACTGAAACCTCACTCTATAAAGCCACCAATGATTTCTAACTGCCAAATCTAATGCCCTTTTCTCAATTTTCAACCTTCTTGATCAAACTTCAGCATTTGACACTGTTTATCATACTTTTCTCCTGTGTACTCTTTTCTCTCCAGGAATTAATAATACCATTCTTTTCCAATTTTCCTTCTTCTTGTCTGAACTCTCTTCAATCTCCTTCCATAATTACTTATTCAGGTCATGCCCACTAATAAGGTATGGAGTCAAATTCGCTAATCCTGTACTTAATCTATCTCTATACTATCTTGCTTGGTGATGTCATCAACTTCAATAGTTTGAGTCAAGGAAATTATCATATATATCGATGGAGATGATTCCCAGTTTTATGTATCCAGTTCTATCCTCTCTTAGGCACTCCAATTTCACATTACCATCTGCTTGTCAGATATTTTAAAATGTGTATCCCATCAACATCTTAAACTAAACATTTCCAAAGCTGAACTAATTCTTCTTCTTCTCTTCTTTTCCAAATGTTCCCATTACTGTTGAGGGTATCACCATTTTCTCTGTCACCCAGGTGTCATTCTAGATTGTTCCCTCATACTCACTTCACATATTCAATTTGTTACCCAGTTTTATCATGCCTATCTTCACAACACCTCTCATATATGCCACATCTCTCCTCTAACATATCTACTACCATACTGCAGGCTCTTATCTCATGTCTAGGTTATTTTAATGGCCTAAGAGTTTATCTCCCTTCCTCAAATCTCTTCCCATCATCCAATCAGTTTCCAAGGTGATTTTTCTAAATCTGAAGTCTAAACATATCACTCACTCCCTGCTCAATAGTCTCCAATCTATCACCTCCAAAATCAAGTATGAAAATTCTATGTTTGGTATTTAATTCTCTTCATAACTTAGACTCTTCCTACATTTCAAATACTCATATATCCTTTATACCCCAAGAATTTGATTTAAAAAAAAATGTTGCTGGTCTTTTTATTAAGATGCTGTGTCTTTGCCTGGCTATCTCCCAAGCCTAAAATATTATCCTCTTTCAACTGAATTACATTCCCATTCTTTTTACCCCTTATCCATCCTACCACTACTATTATCTTCCTTCTGAGATTATTTTCCACCTATTTTGCATAAATCTTGTGTGCTCATGGTTGTATTTTGTCTCCCATGGTTGAATGTGATCTTCTTGAGGTTGGGGACATTGTATGTGTGTTGTTGTTTGTTTGGGGGTTTTTTTTTGTCTTTTTCTGTTGTCTTTTTTTTTCTTGTTAGCATATTTTTATTGTTAGTTTGACACATTGTAAGCACTTAAATGCTCCTTGGCTGGCTAATTGTCGTCTCTGAGCCCAGATTTCCAAGGGTAGAGTCTGTGATTCAATTGAAGAGAGTTAAAGAGGATAAGCAGGATTCAGGCAACCTGGAATGGAAGTGGCTAAAAAAAAAATTAATGGAAAGGACTGAGTTAGGACAAGACAAGGAGAAAAATCACTTACCACTACCCAGAATTGCTGGAGCAAAGTTGAGAATCCTGTGGGAGGGTGATAAAGAAGATGATACCTAGAGTGCCAGACATTATAAAGAAATGAATAGACAGCTACATGGCTTTCATTGCCATCTTGTTTTTATTTTTATTTTTGTTTTTTTGTGTTTGCAAATTGAGATAAAAGAGTCTGCAGCTAACTAAATATTTTAAGTAGAATGTTCTAATACTTTTCATATGAATTACACTCTTCCAATTAAAGCATAGTCAAATGATATTAAGATGCAGCAAATCCATTGTGTTTCTTTAGTATTCTATATCCTGATTGACAGTGTGCCAGTTTTTTTTGTTTTACCTGTAAGTTTAAGTTGTCTACCCAAAATAAAACAAAGAATCAAAAGAATATATCTAATTGGCTTTTGATTTTTTTTAAAGTCATATTTCTATGCATGGCTAATCTTTCCCTCTTCCTCCTGTTGTTAAGATCAAGTCTATTACAGTGACTAAATTAATTACTTCTTTTTTTTTTGAGGCAATTGGCATTGAGTGACTTGCCCAGAGACACACAGCTAGTAAACGTTATGTATCTGAGGCTGAATTTGAACTCAGGTCCTCCTGAAACTAGGGCAGGTGCTCTATCCATTGTGCCACCTACCTCCCCCTAAATCAATTACTTCTAAAACAGTAATAGACATTTTACAATAAATCTGCTGTTGCCAATGATAAGCTTTCATCACACTTTCCTTTCCAGAAGATAGATTTTTTTTTGGTAAGAAAAACTTGGATCTACAGAATGCATATATGCATGTACTATGACACTGAGTCAGTAATATTTGCTTTTAAAATTTTAGTGTTCTGCTTAGAAAAGGAATCTACAGCCCATATTACTGATTGTACTCACTTGAGAGAGCAATGTATAAATGGCACAAATGGATGTGACCTTCTTTGGGCAGTCCTTGAAGACGTCTGTAATGTTTCAGGTAAAATAATCCTTTACAAAGTATGTTAGTATGATTTATTTTTCTGAAGGTTTTGTGTGTGTGTGTGTGTGTGTGTGTGTGTGTGTATGTGTGATGCCAAAATTGCTATTTTTGCCCTATTGGCTATTATATGTAATTAAATATGTGTGTATTAGATATAATCCATTTAATAATATATGGTACAAATGCATGCTATATAAATAGATGGTATGTGTGTATATATATGCATGTGCATATATAGATACATATGTGTGTTTACATATATGTGTGTATTGTACAAAGAGAAGAGCTTTGATTATACTGGTTTTTGGAGATACTGATACAAAAATGTCCTCCATCAACATAGATCAGAAATGAGTCTATAATTTGTAGTGGAAGAGAATTAAGTGAAACATTGAGAAGTTCAGTGATGTGTCACAGTTGCAAAGTCAATTTCTGTCAGACACATGACTTGGACCCTAGGCATTCCCTACTCCAGGCCTGGAGTTAGTAAGACTCATCTTCATGAGTTCACATCTGTCCTCATACACTTACTAGCTGTGTGATCCTGGGCAAGTCATCCAATACAGCTTGCCTCAGTTTCCTCATCTGTAAGTTAAGCTGGAGAAAGAAATAGTAAACGTTTCTAATATCTTTGCCAAGAAAATCCCAAAAGGGAATCTCGAAGAGTTGGACACAGCTGTAAATAACTGAACTACAATAACAAATCCCTTACTCTAGAACTGGCCCTCTATCTCCTTAGGCACAGCTTCATCTACAACAACAACAATCACAATGAGCAAGGGTAATAATGAAGATGACAAGTTGACATCCTTTTGTTCACTTACAAAATGCAATCATTTTACCCACCTAAGAAATAGCCCAACAAATATTAAACATAAAATTTCAAAATAGCAAAGTAACAACTTGCTCCAGAACTATTTCTTTCTTAACTAACAAAATAAAAGAAGTTAAAAAAAATGAAAATTAATAATAACTCATATCTGGAATTGTTTACATTCACAAGACAATTTACATGTAACATTTGCTCGTTACACAACTTTGGAGAGTTTTTTGTAATATGTTTAGAGGTAGCAGGTATGGCAGAAACAGAACTAGATTTGGCATCCAGCACCCTAGGTTGAGGGACTTACTAATTGTGTGCCCATTGGCAAGTACCATAATCTGTTTCACCCTATGTAAAATGAGGATGATTATACCTCTATGATTTACCTCTTAAGGTTGTCTAAAAAGCTTTGTAAACAAAGCATCATATAAATGTGAGTTCTTATAAAATTTTTAAAATTGGGTCCACCAAAAATTTATGTTTTATAACCTCAACTGGGCCTCAACTGGATAGGTCACCCCCCTCCCCCAACTGCTAAGCAATCCTACAGAAAAAAATTGTGACTATTCATTGTGACTATTCTCCCTTTTCCCTTCTTCCTCATCTCACATCATTCAGATTCCCTCTACCATAATCTCCTCCTTCAATCCTGTCTCATGTGATAAAGTGGCCTTACTCCTTACCCAGGCTAACCCCTATCCCTGCCCAACCAGCCCCCCTTTCCTTCCTGTCTCCTTCAACTAATTGTCCTAGCTCTGTCATCCACCATTTATCACTTATTTTCAATCTTTCTTTGTCTACTAGCTCATTTCCTCCAGCCAACAAACAAGACCATATTTTCTCCATTCAAAAAACAAAATAAAACAAAACCTCTCACTTGAATTTTCCCCCCTATCTCCCCTAACTATCATTCTATATCTCTTCTAACCTTTGTGGTTAGACTACTGGAAAAGACTGTCTATAATAGGTACCTCCACTTTATTACTTCTCATTCTCTTCTTCCAAACTTATCATTCAAATGAAACTGCACTTTCCAAAATTATAATTTATCTTTTATTTGCCAAATCTAATGACCTTTTCTCAGTCTTCATTCTCATCAAACTCTCTACAGCCCTTGTCACTGTTCATCATTATTTCCTCCTTCATAATCTCTTCTCTCTTGGTTTTCAGGGAATCACTCCCTTCTGGCTCTCCTTCTACTTATTTAACCACTCTTATTCAATTTCTTGTGATGGGCCCTTTTCTAGATCACACCCTCTAAAGTAAGTTGACCCACATGGTTCTGTCCTGGGCCCTCTCCTCTTCTCCCTCTATGCTCCTTCACAACCACTTCCATGAATTTAATTATTATGTTCATGATTCTCAAATCTACCCCTATCCTACCCCAACCTCTCAGCTGACCTCCAATCTCACATCTCTAACTACCTTCCAGATATCTTGAACTGGATGTCCAGCAGACATCTTAAACTCAACATGTTGAAAATGTAGCTCATTTTCTTTCCCCCTAAACCCTCCCCCCACTTAGCACTTATCACTATTACTGTAGAAGGCAACAGTATTCTCCCAGTCCCTCATACTATCAACCTAGAAGTCATCCTGGACTCTTCACTCTCTTACGCCCATAACCAATCCGTTTCCAAGGCCTGTCAATTTATCCTTTACAACATCTCTCAAATAAATCCCCTTTTATCCTCTAACACTGCCACCACTCTAACGCAGGCTCTCGACGCCTCACACCTGTACTATTGCAATAGCCAGCAGTTGAGTCTGTCTGAATCAAGTCTTTCTCTACTCCAATGCATCCTCCATTCAGCCTCTAAAATGTTTTTTCTTAAAGTGCAGATTTAACCATGTCACCATATCCCCCACCCCACTCAGAATCAAATATGAAATACTGTTTTGGGTATTCAAAACTCCTTCCTACCTTTCCTACTTTTCCAGTCTTCTTATACCTTCCCACCACATATTCTTTGATCTAGTGACAGTGTGCTCCATGCTAGTCCACAAACAAGACACTCCATCTCTCTTGGTTTAGGGCATTTTCTCTGACTGTCCCTCATTACCGGTATTCTCTCCCTCCCCATTTCCACCTGCTGGCTTCCCTGACTCCTTTTAAGTCCCAAATAAAATCTCATCTTCTACATGAAGCCTTTTTCAATCCTTCTTAATTCTAGTGCTATCCTCTTAATTATTTCCTTTATATGGCTTGCTTTGTATATATGTTTTCATGTTTTCTCCTCCATTAAAATAAGAGCTCATTGAAGGCATGGACTGTCTTTTGCTTCTTTTTGTATCTCCAGGGTTTAGTACAGTGCCTGGCACATAGAAAGAACTTCATAAATGTTTACTGATTTATTTTATAATTGCTACATACTAGCCTCTTGTTCTCCCTTTCATGTTGCTAAATTAGTGACACTAAGATGATCACATAGGATGGAAACTAAGTATATAAAAGTTTCAAAGTACTCCCTTAGGTAAAGTCACTTTCCCTTGCAAAAAAAAAAGTGCTTAATTCTCTCCGTTTATACCTTAGAGGGTGTTAAAATATTTTTCAGTGGAGAAAGAGAGAATTGAAGTCCTCTCTCTGCCCCTTCCCAAATTCTCCAAAGCACCTGGGCTCACATGGTGGGGAGAGGAATGAGCAGAGCAATTAGACTGAAACTCTGGAATTTTGACGGGGTCCTGTTTTTTGTTTCTGCCAAGACTGGGTTCTCCTGGGACACCCAAGCAGTCACTGACCCAGGCAGTAGGAATTTGACTAAAAGGACTGAGTTGGGTTTGTGATCTGAAATTGATTTTCTTTGACCCAAAGATAAAATTTATGGGGATCCCCAAGTGTATAAAGTAACTTACACTTGTTAGAAACAATTCTATGCAATAATATTACTCATAAAATACAGCCTTATAATGGATATACATGTGCACACACGTGTATGCACATATGCACATGCTATTTCAAAGACCCATTATTTCATCATTTTAGTTATTCCTTCTGCTTGAATTTCACAGTTCCCCCTTTGCCTTAGTAGATGATCTATGAACATTGAGGAAATGGCTAAAAATGCCTGAAAATATTCATAACCCTCTAGTTACTTTTCTCTGATGAGGCTTCCTTCAATTAGCTAGGCTGAACCTTAGTGAGAGACATACAATCTGCTCCCAAGCCCCTGGAATCCTCCCCAGGTTTGTAGGGCTTGTCAGTGCTTGTGCATAAAAGGTCTTAGAATAAGGAATAGAATGGAACCTCTGAGGCCAATTCCCTCATTTATAGATTGAAAAATTGAGTCCTAGAAAGGCTAAATGCTCAGGCATACGTGTAGAAAGCCTGTATAGGACTGTCCATTTAAAATTGAAAACGACTTAAGAGTCCTCTTAATCCTATACCCTCATTTTTACTGAAGAAGAAGCTGAGATTGAGGGAGGTTCAGTGATTTAACTGAGGTCAAATTGGTAAGGCCGAAGGAAGTATTTAAACCCAGATTCTCTGCCTCTAAAGAACAAATTGACATATGTGTGTATAATCAGTATTTAAATAATTAAAAATAAATATCTTATGTAAGCAAATACATGTATATGTACATACATGCATGTATATAGATGAGATTTAACATTTTTTCAAGTATTTTTTCTTTAAATTCATGATCAAGTTGCAAGCTCATTTTATTACTGATGGATTAATAAATTCAGGTGCCCTCCTTTCAAAACAAAATATCGTCACAGTAGCTACAGGCAGCAACTAGATCTGGAAGGTAACTTAAGATTTCATCTAGGCAGGCACTGGAGTCTAAGAACATGAGAATAAATCCTTCATATAATGCTTACTACCCATGTAACCTCGTACAAATCATTTTCTCTCACTGGCTCTCTATTTCCTCATCTGAAAAAACAAGGAGGTTGGAATTGAAGTTCTCTGCAGTTTCTTCCTCTTCAAAATATATGATCCTATGCAGTTGTCCAATTTTCCATTTTCCAGATGCGAAAACTGAGGTCAGTAAGATAAATTGACTTCCCCATGGATCAAAATCTAGTGTTCTAACAAAGTGATGAATATAACGTAGTTTATATTATTTCCCAAGCCCTTAATCACTCTTGTTTATATGTGAATCATTATTGGATCTGTGATTTCTTTGTTACAGAGAATTTCAGGATAAGGGAGATCTTTCTACTGATATAGGTCAGCCCCTTCTTCCCTTACAGAATGTTGGTACTCTGAGAGTGACTTACTCAAGATTACTTTATTAGTATATGTCAGAAGCCACACTTGAACCCAGTGATCCCTAACAGATTCTGACTACTTCTTAATCCACTATGATAAACTGACTCTTATCTCTTGTTTGATTGATTTAAAATTCTGAACTTGATAATCAGAAAATGTAAGAGATGTAATTTACATTACAAATGTATCTGACTGCAGTGACTAGTTAGAAAGTTCTCCTTTTGAATTTAAAAATGAGGCCAACTGTGGAAGATTTAACCTTGAAACCAGAAAGACCTGAATTCAAGTCCTGCCCTGGGCATTTAATCTCTTATTGCTCTAGGACAGAAGTGTCAGACATACTGAGGCAGGGCAATGGGAGTCTCCACAATACTTCCACATGGCCCAAAGCAAATTAAAATGCAGTTGGGACATAATTAACAAAATAAATAAAATACAATAAAAACAGGTAATATTATAATTTAAAATCATCAATATGCATTCCTCAGAGACCCTTATGTATGGATTATTGGTCCTGTGTCTATTTGAGTTTAACCAAACTGCTCCAGAAAATTCTCTAAGAATATAAATTGAAGAGAAGGATACATTTTCATTGGTAGGGGGGAGTTTTCCATCCATATATATGCAGAAACAGATTCAATCTCTAGCCTTATCCATTTTACACTGATCTTTTTTTTTCCAGAAATGCATGTATTTGTGTGAAGAGACATACATTGCCTTATTTATATTTGCAAAAAGAAAACAGAGAACTATGAAATGTAATGCTATAACAAAATAATGTGATAACCATATATATCTATATCTTGGTAATACATCAACTGATTTTCAGACATAGAAGTGCTTCACTTTAGGGTTATACGTTGAAATGGTATCACATTTTCAAAATGATATTTTCAGGAATCAAAACTATGGTACCTATGGATTTCATACTTCTTTATGATGTTTCATCATTGTCATTTGCTCAGTGATATTTGACTTGAATCAAATAGTATTATATTGGAATATATGTTTTTAGCTAGTCATCCTTTCCACACTGCTTGCTGGAACAGAGAAGATCAGATGATAATCATTAAAGAAATAACAATAGTTGTATAAGCTATCCTCTGCTTTTTTTTCCCAGTCCGGCAGCTGAATAAATACATTTATACAATCACTGAGACAGTAGAAAAGTGAGGCTAAGCTCATGGATAAAGCAATATAATAAATTGACCCTGTCATAGAAGACTGGCCATCTGGGGCATATAAAGATGAACCAGAAATATTTATATTTGAAAAAAATGAAAGTTTGAAAAAAAAAACTCCACACTTAAGATATTTTGCCCAAACACATCATGAATATTATGATAGTTTAGAAATATGAAGCAGCACAACTTCTTGTTCCTTCATGACATATGACTTATGTAGACTTGTTACCCAACCCTCAAATCTTCCCATCCCCAGTCCAAACAAGTGTTTTTAAGGAAAACAGAAAAAATAAATACTTTCCCCTTTCTAACATGAACCTTCTTGAATATCATACATGAATTCTGTAGTTACTACATCTAATGGCTCACATATTTCAAAGATTCATATGTCCTTGCAACTACCCAACAGTTGGGGACTAGCTGGATGAAGAGACAGCAACCACATCTATGTGGATACTAATACAAAAGCTGGTTTAATGGAATGGGTGTTAGATATAAAGTAATAGCATCCTTCCTCAGATACCTGCTATATAATCATGAGCAAAACCTTTAGTTTCTGTCTCCCTGAGTTTCCTCAACTATAAAATGAGAATAATAAGATCTATAATACCTACTCCATAGGGTTGTTGTAAGGCTAAAATAAGATAATGTAGAAAAAAAAACTTTTGAAGACATTAAAGTAATATCTGTTGTTCAGTTGTTTAAGTCTTATCCCACTCTATGCAACCCCATTTGGGGTTTTCTTGGCAAAGATACTGGAGTGGTTTGCCATTTCCTTTTCCAGCTCATTTTATAGATGAGGAAACTGAGGCAACCAGAGTTAAGTGATTTGTCCAGGGTCACACAGCTAGTGAGTGTCAGAGGCCAGATTTGAACTCAGGTTTTCCTGACTCCAGGCCCTGTGCTCTAGCCACTGCATCACCTACCTGCCCAAGCAATATTTAAATGTATTTTGTAATTATCCTCATTTTCTCTATCATCCATCCTTGTCCTAGGGGATTGATGTGTGTATATGTGAACGTGCAAGCATGTACGTATGAGTGTGAGGTGAAACAAAGAAAAATAACCCTCCACTCTGTATCTGGACAGACATGTCAAAACCCATGCCCTCTCAACTCCTGCAACAGAATCCTAGTTGGAAGCAATCATGATGATCATCTATTCCAACTACTTCCATCTACTGCAACTATTCCAACTTTCACTTCAGAAACTGAAATAGAGCATTTATATAAAATTCTTGCAGTCACTTGATGAGTTAAGAAGAAAATATAAAGCATTAAAAATAAAGTTACTTTGTTTTCTTTGAGGAAAAAATAATTTTGAATATTATATGATGACAACTTCAAAGTTTTGTCAGTACTACCACTTGACGTTTTGTGTGTCATTATTTATGAGATATTTTCATAAGATCTCCTAATCATAGGATCATAGGCAGATCTTGAAGGGATTTTAGAGGTCATCCACTCCAATTCCCTCATTTTTTTGGATAAGGAAACTTGAAGCCCAAATATGTTAAATGACTAAGTAACTGTTAAAACCACGATTTAAGCCTAAATCTTCTGACCCCAAACAGCATGCTTTCCTCTGTACCAAAAGAAGTAATTTCCAGCTTTTTACTAATTATATTCTTATAATTATCTCTTTATCAGTCTATAAGCAGAAATGTACTCAAGTGTGTCAAGTGTCTTTTGCTAAAAGCATCAGAGGAGTTATTTTGTTTCCCCTTTCAAGATTAAAAATTGCACAAACAGGCCAGTTGATAAAATAGAGATATGAATAAGAATTAGACCTGTGATTTAATTATTATAGGGACAGGACTGAATGAGGAAAATCCTCCTACCATTTAGGTTGCCACCTTTTCTGAAACTATAGTTTATATAGAGTTTCAAAGAGCACTGAAAGACTTAGTGAATTGTCCAGGGACACGCAGCTAAGTTGTTAGGCAAAGAGGTCATGTAATAGAGAACTAGATTTGATGTTATAAAGACAAGTTCAAAACCTTCATCAGCCACTTATTAGCTGTGTGACCCTGGGCCAACTGATGGCTATCTGTCTCAATTTCCTCATTTATAAATGAGGAAGGGTAATAATAACATATTTCTCAAAGTTGTTGTATTGAATGAGATCATATTTTAAAAATGCTTTATATTTTAAACTTAAAAACACTATGTATTTATTATTATGCTGGTGTTGAAAATAATTTAATGCCAATTTCCTAAGTCTCTTATAGGGATTCAAACAATATATCACTTTGTAAAAGAAGATTCTGCTATTTTCCATCTACAATATGACCATAAAGAAATTTAATGAAACACTATTTCATTATAATCACAATTTATAATATGCTAAAACTTTATTCCCTTGAAACACAACTATGAACACAAATGGGAAAATTCCCTGTACTAATGAACTCATACAGATACAGTTTCCATTCTATATTAAAACATAAGTAAAATGAGGTTTTGTGCTTAAACTACAGATAGATAGATAGATAGATAGATAGATAGATAGATAGATAGATAGATAGATAATGATCCTGCAGAACTTCTACTTGACTCACCAAGTTGTGAAAGTTTGGTATTGCTAAATTGATAGATTTTAACAAAATATGTTTATATTATATATATATATATATATATATATATATATATATATATATATAATTATTTTGAGAAATCAAGTCATTAAATTCAAATTAATGCATACAATGTTATATATTTGTCTATAAAATTTAGGTAATGACTGCAAGATGAAAGATTCTTTAAGCTGCAACTTAAGCATCCAGTCCCTGGAGGATCAATATCCCAAATTTAAAAAATGTCTCTGTACTGAAGATATTTATTGCAGTGTTAACAGGTTGCTTGGGAGACAATGTACCAGTAAAACAGGTAATAAGAAGATTCTCAAATACAGAAAATGTTCAGAAGAAAAACATAGATTCTTACCAATCACAGAATAGACTCTACCTAATTAACATTATTGATTTCCTAAATGTGTGGATGTTTGAATGAGTTGTTATTTTTCAGTTGGGTCCAACTCTTCATGATCTTGGCAAAGATATTAGAGTGCTTTGCTATTTCCTTCTGCAGTGGATTAAGGCAAATAGGGGTCAAACGACTTGCCCAGGGTCACACTACTAGGGAGTGTCTGTGGACATGATAAGGTCTAGAGGTTTAGGGGTGTTGGGACCCCGAGATCACGACACACAGATCTTCTCCAAGAGAATTTGAACCAAACCTTCTTTCAGCCAAACACAATTATTAAAGATCTGCTGTATTAGCCAGACTCTCAAGAAATCTGAGCATTTGTGAGCTATTGGCTAAATTGTAAAAATCTGAGCAGGGGCTGAGAATCTGAGCACTTTAATACAGACAAGACGGACCTTATATACAGAAAGACTGTGGGAGGGATTTAGGAGTGGACAAGTAGTCTGCAGGGACTGTGAAGTAATAGAATGCCAGGGACCTGGATCATGTGCCCAAGAGAGAATGGAACCTACATAGGATTAAGGGTGAGAAGTGGCCAGGGGCCACAAGGAGGTAAGACAACGGAGAATTAGGCTAGGTTAAGGATAACAGAGAGTTGGGAGATTGGGCAAAGCCACAATGAAAGGCCAATTGATAGGATTACAGCCTCAGGAAACTCCAGAGATTTGGCCTTGTGGGAAAGTCTAGGGTTTTTCCTTTTTTGGCATCTAGATCCCATCCTCATCAGAAAGATCTGAACTCAGGTCTTCCTGACTCCAGGTCCAGTACTCTATCCACTGAGCTACTTAGCTAACTGAATCAGCTGTAAAGGTAACTTATTCAGCCCAATTACATACTCTGTAACTTCCCATACATTTCATATATCAAATTTTGCTGAAATGCATTCTGAGTTATAGATAACATACTTGTACAAAAACATTTAGGGAAATTGTGTTGCAAAAGGACTGAATCAATAATTTAACATGACATATATCTTTATAATCTTTAATCATGGATGCATTTGCTCAAAGTACATTGTTTCTTTCAAAAATATCTTGCATAATTAGATAAATAAACAATGGCAGGACTGAAACTGAGACCTCACCCACTTTTTTGCCAAAAATGAATACTTTGTACCTTGCTGATGGTTTATAATTCTGTTGTTTGAATGAATATGTGGACAGGCTGGTGAGAAGAGGTATCATTGGGAGTAGTTTCCTAAAACCATTTCCTAGATTACAATGCTTATGCTATCTTTAGTATGCCCACTATGGCTCATGATAGATTGATCTCTTCTGTGGTTATGACTACTATAATTCAAGTCTGAATCTATACTTTTTTTTAAACTAAGCATTAAAACCAAAGAAGTAAGCTGAATTCAATTATATTTTAAAAAATCATTGAAAATCTCCCACTAGATCCATTTGTATTCAGATGTAGTTGCACCCCAAATTTTCTTCCACAGATATGGGATTACATCTTGACAACTGGCAGAAGGGCTCAAATTATTTAGATTAATGTTTCTGACATAGAAACCTAAGATGATCTTATGTAATTATTACACAAATGAAGAAGAGGGTTATAAGACGTTTACTTCTGCCCTTCTTACTTATCAAGAAGTCTTATTTGGCCTTCAATTTTCCTCCAAAATGGAACCCTGCTATTACCTTTCATTATATGAAATGATGAACAACTTCTCACCAAAGTCTTGCATAATCTTGAGTAATGAAATAGTACATATGCTTTGATTTTTGTGTAACTTTGGGCTCTTTAGTTTGGTGCTATTATTTGTCTGCTCTGCTTAAGGTATTGAAAAAAAATCAAACTGGCTTTGGCCACATCACTTGAGGGTATGTGTCTCTGTAGAGAGAAAATTTCAGAGTTTTAAACAAGAGAAGAAAAACCAATTGTTTAACATATAAAATGTTAAGGTGGAATTAATGAATGAATGAATGAGTAATAAAGCACTTAATTATTTACCTTGTGCAAAGAATTGTGCGAAGCACTGAGATAAAAAATTGAAAAGAAAAACCAGAGAATGTAGGTGAGAGACGGCTAATCTCAAAGTCAGAAATTCTGGAGAATATATTGGCAATGTGACTGACAACCACGCATAGACAACTGTCTAAGACTCTACGTTGAAGAGGTGCTGACCTTCATTGGTAGAGGGAGTTTCCTTGCAGGTAGTTCCCTGTGCCAATAAAATCACAGATTTAATCCTATCCCCTAAAAGTTCTATTGAACAAAACATAAGAATTAGACATGTTTACTTACCAGCAGGCTTTCAAGTTAAATATTACAAAAAGTCAAAACCTAAATATGTGGATAAGTTTAAGCAAAATCAGGCAATGATGTTGCAGAGGTCAGAAACATAGGTTATCTTAATGTCCAGTTGCCTGGCAGCTAGTAGGTGCTTAATAAATGTTTATTGATTAATTGATTCATATCCATGTATTCTTTTTCACAGAGCATTCAGAGCTTCCCTCAGTCCAAGTTATTCAATCAGATGTCATCCAGTGGACTATGTCAGAAGGGAGATTGCAAGGGAGTGATGCAGACAATGACTGCAGTGTGGCCATGCAGGCTTGTCAAGCATCAGAACATTGCTTCATCATCTATAAGAATTTTAAAGAAGCATGTGGTTCAAGGATAGAAAGTTGCAGCAGTGATGATGCAGCAGGACACCTGTGCATCACATTAAGGGAAAAGCTAAAGGAAAGTGTGCTGTGGGATTGCAACTGTCTGGAGCCATTGAATGAAGACTGTATTCAAATTTGGAAGAATATATTTGAAAGTCCTTGTTTACAGCATACTCAAGAAAGCCATGTGACAGTCTTTAGTGAAGAATATGAAGATAAATATATTCAGGAGGACATGAATACAGGTTAGTATTTATTAAAAAGCTTTCAAGAGAAATACGTGTAAGCACTCTACCATTTCAGAGCATGGGTCCTTAATCGTGTGTGTGTGTGTGTGTGTGTGTGTGTGTGTGTGTGTGTGTGTGTGTGTGTGTAAAGAGAGAGAGAGAGAGAGAGAGAGAGAGAGAGAGAGAAACAGAGAGAGACAGAGAGAGAGATCTTTTCTTAGAGTATTTATTTTTTGAATTTATATTTGGAGAAATGCTAAATTTTTGTTTAAATTAATGAAAATAAAGATACCATTTTTTATATTCAAGTTCATGGTCAGCCTGAAATCGTTCTATTTAGTTGTTGTTCAGTCATGTTAGGCATGTCTGATTTTGTGACCCCATTTGGGACTTTCCATTTCCTTGTCCAGATCATTTTACAGATGAGAAAACTGAGGCAAACAGTGTTAAATGACTTACCCAGGATCACACAGCTAGTAAGTGTCTAAGGCTAAGCTTAAACTCAGGTTTTCCTGACTCCAGAGTTCCATTCACTACATCATCTGGATACCTCCAAATCCATCGATAGACTTCTGCTTAAGAACCTCTGTTTTAGAGGTACCTGAAGCACAGAGCTAGAAAATTTAGGTTCCAATTCTCTCTGTATGCATTAAAACATTATTAATGTTCCTTTATCTTAGGACTCTACCTTCCCTTTTTGCTATTATATTGTTACACTGTTATATTAATTAAATTCATTCATTCAACAAACATTAAATGACTGCTATGGGTCACACACTGTACTAGAAGCTAAGAACCAAAAGAAGAAAAAAAATAAAACACTCCCTTCCTTAAAAAAAATGTTTATTTTATTGATTGACACAAAATATTCATGTACACACAGTAAATACATATATACTGGAAAATATGAAGCTAGCAACTATGTGGATTGAGAAGTATAAAAGTTATGCTTGAGCTGAGCTTCAAAAGAAACAAGGAATCCTGAAAGCTAGTCAGTCCATACATTTATTAAGCATTTACTATGTGCCAGGAAGAGGTTTGATGTGAAAGATGTCAGAGGTAGAGACAATGAGACTTGCAAAGTGATTGGATATATGGTGTGAGAGAGAAGAGTATGAACAAATAAAGCATGAATGAAGAGAATGACTCTGAGGTGACAAACCTAGGTGACTGGAAGGATGGTGGCATTCTCAAAAGAAGAATTCTGAAAAATAGTGGCCTTGGAAAATTTTGATGAGTTCTGTTTAGACTTGTTGAATTTGAGATGCCTAGAACACACCAAGTTGAAAATGTTATGATAAGCAGTTTGGGACAGTGATGATGATGATGGTGTTAATATAGGGCTTTAAATTTTTCAAAGACTTGGGAATCATCTGCCTAGAAATGATATTTAAACTTATGGGAGCTAATGAAGTAAAAAAACAAAAACAAAAACAAAAAAAACCAAGAGTGAGTGTCCAGAAAGAAGAGACCCCAGGACAGAAGCTTGAGTGTGATATGATTGATGACCCAGGAAAGAAGATTGAGAAGGATCATATAGAAAGTTAGGAAAACAAAGAAGAAAGAGCAATAGCTTTAAAATTCCAAGTCATATTGATAGAAAAATCTTAATCATTTGGAAAAGTGGGCTTCTTAAAAAGTACAAATTAATTTTAACAGGCAAAAATGCAAAATTGTCTATTTCAGTTCAAACTATCCATTGCATACAATCAGGATGAAGGATACCTAGCTTGACATTACCTTTAGGGAAGGGGGGGGGAATGTGAATTTGAGTTAACATTAAGTTAAATAAGAATAAAAATGATAGAGTCAACATAACATCCAATGTAATCTTGGACTGTATTGAATTGCTGAGCAAATCAAAAAAGCTCAGACCAAATATGAACTGTTGTTTCCACTTCTGGGAATCACACTTGAAAATGATTATGGGAGAGGAAAAGGGAGGGGGTGAAATTTACATGATAACTTCATTATGTATTGAAAAGGAATAGCAAGTTGTATATAATAGAATTGCAATTTCATGTGCAATCATCTCTTTTTGTTATTCTATGTTATGCAAATGATTCTTATCACATGAATTAAAAAGAAAACTCAGAAAAGGGGGAAAAAAGAAACTACAGAATTTTCAGCTAAAGGTAGACAAGATACTAGGAAGTCTTGAAAATAAGTTACATAGGTAACAGTTGGGAAATCTGGGGAGAAGAGAAAACTAATGGAACACATGATAGATAGCTATCTTCAAACATGTGGCAGTTAGCCAAATATGTGGAAGAGGGATTAGGCAAGTTTTAAGCTCTTGAGGACATAACTAGTAATAATGACTGGAAGATTTTAGCTCAATATAAGGGAGTCAGATTTCAACTCGAGCTTTCCACTAGTTTTCGCTGTTCAAAAATGGAATGGATTATTTTATGAGATAATGAGGTCCTCATCACTGGAAGTACATTGCATAGAATTTACAACAAGATAGCATTCTGGAGATCAATTAGTATTACCCTTTCATTTTACAAATGAGGAAACTGGCCGGAGAGGTAAAGTGACTTGCCCAAGGTAACATAGTACCTGTGCAGCAGAGGCAGGATAATAATAATAACAATAACAATAATTACATCCTGATGCTGATGATAATGACGACAACAGCCATGATGATAAACTAGAGCCATAGTCCTTTGATTTTAAATCTAATGCTATTTTCCCTACAACATGCTGCCACCTTGAGGGGAATATTGTAGAGGAAGTGATCACATTGTGAGAGAGATTGGACTAAATTATCTCAAAAGCCCTTCTCACCTCTAAGATTCTAAGATATCATTACTTCAATGCCTAGACCTCTTTTTAAATTAATTTCAGAAGGCAATATTTTCTAAATTACACTTCAAGAGAATATAAACCTTAAAGGGAAGGTTAATTTGGTTCAGAAAAGGCAGCTAAGCCATTGTTTATGTCAAAATACAAGACTTAGTCACTGTTTGTTCCTATGTTTAATAGACAAGGATGGTGAACTGACTTGAACAATAGTCCAAAGTTGTTTGTTTTGCCCAATTCTTTGTTCAAATCTCATTCCGGATTTGTATGGCGTTGCCACTTTTGCTAATTGTTAACTATTTTAAAGGGTCTGTGTTAATAATCCTGGCTCATATGTACTGGTTACATGTAGAGAAATTTTCAATACTAATTTTGTTTCTTTCCTTCTAGATTATATTAATCAGCCTATTAAACTGCAGTGGGATGAAACTGCTCTTCCTCACCATGGTAAGCATTACGAGAGTTAACATTGAAGAACACATTCTGTAGCTATTCAATATTTTTATTATTGTAAACAATATCATCAACAAACACATTTTAAACATGATTTAAATATATACTTATTTTTCCCTTTCTCTGTGCATACATGTATATTATATCATATAATATCAAATACATATAATATCAAAATATATTTTTAAGAACACATATGCAAATTAATTAACTTTCCATACTTATTATTCTAAGTTATTCTAAGAACCTCAGTTCCCTCATCAGTAAATTGAAATGATACCTCTATGGTAGAGTGGGACAAGTTTTGAAATTGGATTCAAAGGACCTGGATTCCAATAATTGTTCTGAGATTTGTGACTCATGTGACATTGAATGAATCTCTTAATCTCCCTTTAGCTATAAAATGAGAGTATTGGATTAGAAGGTTTTGGAGTCCCCTTCCAGGACCAGATTTTGTGATCCTATGATCCTAATGTGAGCAATGAAATAATATATATATGTAAAATATTTTGCAAACATAAAAGTCCAATTTAGTATTATTGTCATTATCATTATATCATGAACAGACAATGTAGTAGCTCCTTGTCCTTTATCATTCATCTGAGAAATTTATGTTCTGGGATGTTTCATGGAATCCAGAACTATTCTTGCTCCTCTCCTCTGTTATCTTTCAAAAAGCAAAGCAAACAAGAAATAAATATTAAAATCATTCATTCCTCGCTTCTCATTAAATCCTTATTGCTGTTATTGTTGTCATTGTAAATATCTGATTTCAACGCTTTGTAAATTTCCCAGCATGGAAACTCCCTGTACTAGTATGCTCTCTTCAATGTAGAACCTTAAAGAGTTGTCTGAAACATTGAGAGGTTAAGCATCTCACCCTTGGTCACACAGCTATTATGTATTTGAGGCAGAACTAGAACCTAGGTCTTCCTGGCTTCAAAGCTGGCCCTTTCTCTGCTATGCCATGCTGCCTCTCACAGCAAATTATTGCTTTCTCTAAAGTACAGTAGCAGTTGCTGAAACCCAGTAGATTAGTAATGTACCACTATTTCAATTCTAGTCTTCTCACAGTATTTTCTAGGTGTTCCATGTGTAGATACCTATTTATTTTCCTGCAATCTGAACATATTTCTGCTTTTAGGATTCCAAGGGACCTGGTCCTGTTTGGAAGCAGCACAGGTTTGTGTTGGAGATGTAATATGTAACAAACAGTTGGCTCTGTACCTTAAGGCTTGTTCAACAACCGGAAGGCCATGCAATCTGACACAGTGCCAAGCAGCCATCCGCTTCTTCTTTCAAAACACGCCTTTTAACATTGGCCAGATGTTGGCTTTGTGTGACTGTGCTCCAGCCGATATACCTTGTCAGAAGTCCAAAGATATTCTTCACAGCAACTTGTGTGCTGCGAAAGTAGTTCCACCCCCATCATGCCTTGATGTAATTCACAGCTGCCAAGATGATGAAATATGCAGGTAACTAAAAGCATATCTTCCTAATTTTCTTATTTTTGATACTCGTTACTGTTCAGGCTTAACACTTGACCTGGTTAACCCAGTCATGGTACTTCTTAACAAAAGACAAAAACAAACAAACAAAAATGCCATAACAGTATGACTAGACTAATTTTATGGAAAATCTGAATCCATATAAATAATTTATAGGTATTCCATCCATACGTATAAATATGCACACACATATATGCATGTATGTATATATGGAGATATATACACACAATATATGCATACATATACATATGTATATCTATATATCTCTATATGTATGTATGTGCAGATATACACACACTGAAATACAAACATTATTTTAGGTATTTTATACACATATACAAATGCATATATGTATGTAAGCATGTATTATTGTTCAATCACTTTTTCAGTCACGTCCAACTGTTCATGACCCCATTTGGTGTTTTCTTGGCAAATACACCATTTCCTTCTCCAGCTCATTTTACAGATGAAGCAATCAAAGCAAACAGTGGTAAGTGATTTGCCTGGGGTGGTTTAGCTAGTAAGAGTCTGAGGCAGATTTGAACTCGTGAAGATGAACCTTTCTGACTTCAGACATGGCTCTCTATCCATTGCACCACCTAGCTGCCCCATATGTGTGTATATGTATATATTATACAAATGTATATGAGGTGTATGTATATATAATACATAAATGTATGATGTACATATAACATATATATATGTACATGCATGGATTTATTTATATATTCAAATATAGATACATAATGTTATGCAAAATGAAATTTAACATGCAGAAAGATGACAGTAACTAACAACTAGTATTATTAATGTTACACGTTCTGTTCCTAGCAATTTAGTGTCCAGCTACCTTTCCAGTCCTACTATGCATTGCTCCTTTCATGCATATGCTTTAGTCAAATTGTTTTCCTGCTATTCCTCATATGTGACATTCACAAGCTGTCCTCCATTCATAGAATTCCTCATCTCTACCTCCTAGAATACCCAGACTCATTCAAAACTTAGCTAATATGCTCTTACAGAAATCATTGTTGATGATCCAAGGGGCTGTTGCCCCTTCCAAAATAATCTTGTACTCATTTTTCATATGCTTTATATGAATATATATGTACACACACACACACACACACACACACACACATGCCATCTTGACCAGCGAATTGTAAACTCCTTGAGAACTGGTAGTGTTTCATTGTTATTTCTGTATACCCACCACCTATCATGGTATACCTATAACATAGTAGGCACTAAAGAAATGATTGTTAATTGATTGAATTAAATTGAGTCCTTTGAACTCTAAATCTGTTGCCCTAGTATTCTATGTCTTTGCTGAAAAATGAAAGAGTTGGATTAAATCATTTTTCAGGTCCTTTTTTAGTTCTAAATTTTACAATCAATGCAATTGAACTACCAGTGTGAAAACAAGAAGAAGAAGAAGACACATTTATATAATGCTTTAAAGTTTGCAAAGAGTTTTACAATTATTATCCTATTTGATTCTCATAATAACCCTCAAAGGTAGGTGCCAGTATTATCCCCATTTTAACAGGTGAGAAAACTGGAGCAAACAGAAGTTAAATGACTTGTCCTGGGTCACACAGCTTTTAAATATATAAGACTGGATTTGAACTCAGGTCTTCCTGACTCCAAGTCCAACATTGTATCCATTCACTGCCTAGCTGGGAGATGGGAGGTAGGGATCAAGGGAGATGACTACAATGCTTTTGATCATTTGACTTCCATACAACCAAGTTGAGAAAACTACAAAAATTAACGAGCAAGTAACAGAAACAATGCTGTATTAGATCTTAAAAGATAAAAGATGTTTAAATAAATTACTACCCCATTTGTGATGTATGAAATTCTCTGATCAATTGATGGAATGAGAAATCACCTACATATTGTTAGTCAAGGGTTGTCTATACCCAAGGTGGTCCTTAAATAAGTGAGACACATTTTTTAAAGAGTTGGTGGAGAACAGAGATGGATCTGTAGAATGTGACTCTAGTAGCAGAGCGAAGCCACCTACGGAAGAAACTAGCACTTTAGAATAAATAGATTCTCAATTCTAGAGGGAAGGAGAATTTCTCTCACTCCTCAGTGCACTCACTCATCCCCATTGGCTATGACATTTTCCGGTTGGAAACAACTCATCCAATAAGGAGCAGAGCTAGGAGTTGAGGCAGGAGACAATTCTGAAAAGTGTGACATCTGTGAATTGAGAAAAGAGAGAGGTAGCCTAGTTATTTTGGAATTTAGCCTCAGGAGAGCTTGGGGAGCCCAGAGGAATGACATGATCAGCAGTCAGTCAATAAATATTGTTTTAGCGGCTACCATGCACCGGGCATTGTACTAAGCATGAGGAGCAGACACACATCAGAAGAGAAAGGACTCTGGGCCCCTGTAGTGTCGATAGTTAGTTGCCTGTGCCATTATACTCCCAAAGGTTGTGCTTCTTTACTTGCATACTATAACTTAATGCTTACTATTCTTGTTGGTATTGAATGTATTGTGGGAGAATACATCCCATATTTATGGAGGAAATATTTTGTAGCTGCTGAAAGTATGTTACTTCCTCAGTAAATGTCTTTACTATGAGCTAAACCATGTCTTCTGGTTGACTATTGAAGGCAAACGCTCCAGTGGATACTCATGACCTTTAATTTTGTACCTGAGAGTCATGTCTACCTGGGGACCCAACTACTGACTAAGATTCAAGGAATAAAAAGGAATAAAATAAAAGGAGCATTAAATCATTAAAGGCTTCACATGGAAGAATGTGCCATCCATATTTTTGCAGCCCATGACCTCTTCCCAACTTGACTGCCTCATCATTTACACATTTCTTGTTGCTTAACCCCTAGGGAAGGTAATCCCTTTTGTAAATCCTCCTGCTAGCCCTGACCAAATCTCTGTTCCTTAGGATGTATGGGGTGTTGAGAGAGGACTAGAACCTTTAGTTTCAGGGCTTGCTGAGCCCTTTTCAGGGATGCTCATCCATCTTTGCTGTTTACTTCATCCAACTCTACCCTATGGCTCCAACTGTCTTGGAAAATGGGCTACCCCAGGTTGCAGGTAACCATTAGGCCTCAAACCTGTCAGTGAGTTAGGAAGATGTCTACCCTACGCATGTGAAGACTTTTCCTGGTAGAATGGATAGGGGAGAGTAATTTGTTCAACTGGCCATGAAGGTGGCTGAAGTAGGTGCTAGACAGTGCTTAGAGCTCTGTCAGGCATCAAATATACCAAGGCCATTCACTACATCCTGGGCCATTGCCAGTAGTCTTGACTTTTGTCCTGCCACTGGACTTTTATGACTCAAGAAGAGAAAGACTGATGACTGTTCAACTCTGCTTAACTTAAACCCAATTCACTCGCAAGTCAAGACATCACCTGCAATATTATTGGTCCTCTTCAAATATGAAGGATGAACAGCAATGTCTCTGTCCCTTACTCTAGTGGTATCAAATTCAAATAGAAGTGGGGGTCACTAAGCTCTAAATATAGATCCCTACAGTCTACATGTTAACTTAGCTTTAAAATATATTATGTATGTTTTATCATATTTATGTTTATTTTGTTGTTAAATATTTCACAATTACATTTAATCTAGTTTGGATCCAGGGAGTGTCAGGGGCAAGTGTTTGACACCTCTGCCTTACGCCATCCATGCAGCCTGATTTAACCATAGCCATTTGTTCATATGAGCCAGGCTAAAGTATTCAATTCAAGTGTCCCTTTTGTGGCTACAAATCTAGCATTAGGTTTGATTCTGTCAGTGGTAGGTAAGGTAAAGTGGAATAGGAAATGATGACACATAATTTCTGTGAATTAAGCAGGTATCCTGATTCTTTAGGGTTGATGAAAATTTGACTCTTCTCAGTGTCATCTTACATTCATTATTTTTTTTTAATCTGCTTCCCTGCATTAATAAATGTCTTTGAACATGTGTGACTCCTATACTGCTGCATAGTTTCTTCTATTCATTGGGAAAAATAGAGCCTCTTAGGTTACAAACTCATTTAAAAGTGATAAAATCATTTTTTCCCATTCTTATTGTTTGCAATTCTCAGTGCCAACTCATAATTCTTGCTATAGACATTGTCAAGTCATCTGAAAATTTTGAATGATATATCTTCTCCCTGAGGGGCTGAACACTTGAAAAGTCAAATTCCTTTTCAGATTTGTACCTTTATTCATCCGTTATTCCCAAAATCTTGAAGTTGAAAATGGTAAAGAAAAGTAGGCTTTTCAAATTTTCAGCACATTTGTCAAAGAAATCTAATTGAATTAGGCAGACGTGGTGGGATAGGGTGGGGACGATTATACTTCTGGTTCAAAAGGCCTTTAGAGGTCATCTAGTCCAAATCCTTCATTTTACATTTGAGGAAACTGAGGCATATGCAAGTGAAATGACTTGCCAAGAGTGACAGAAGTGTTATATAGCAGAATAGAGATTTGAATTCACCTTCCAAATTTTGCTTTCCAATTGAAGTTTTCTTTCTGCTGCAACACAAGGCTTGAATAAAAAATGTAAGAGTTCAGAAGTACAAAAATAATAATTTTTATATTATTTGGATTTATCTTAGAATTGTGTAGGAATACTCACTCTCTCTTAGTCATTAATACTTCCACTTTAATACAGATTCCCTTACAAGACACAAAGACTTACTGGTGCCAGAAAATACATTCTTCCTGCAAATTGGCTCTGTTGACCATCTCTTGTATTTCTTACTGTTTCTCCAGGCCATTCTGCCAGAGGGTTGAATCACTTTTGTTTTTCACTCCTCTGTCATGACTCAAGCTCTGCTCCTTCTATGACTACCCACAAAGAACATAGCTCCCCATCCCTCTTTAAGGTATCCAACATAGATTTTTGAAATCTCTTGCAATGCAGTCATTTTTTCACATGGCTCAAATTCCTTATTTAATGTGGATTTGTACTTTTCAGTAGTTCTAGAAGTATC